TCTATTTGGGGTGATTGTATTTTTAACTCCGAGTTCCTTTTTTTTTTTGGGCAAATAACTATATATTAGCCTTAATACACTTATCTTTCCCATGAGTTTCAACATACACTATCCAGTTGGATGGATATCCTTTTGACGAGATGCATAAAGTCATGATAGGTAAACAAGTCAAGGATTGGGAAGCAAAGTAATGATCGTTTTGAGAGAAAATAACATAATCAATCATTATAAAAAGAATTAGAAATTTTTATAAGTTAACAAAGCCATGTATCAAAATTAATTGCATATTTCAATCTCACATAAGGTGCCACTAGAAATTTGGGGACCGAATTTTTTTGAGGAGGGAAAAATATTGTAATACCTGAAAAAAATGTGTGGAATTTGTAGATTAAAAATTACAAATACAATTAAAAGAAAAAAATCAGATTTTTAATAAATTTATCTTTATAGCTGAATCTATGAAAAACCTTTGGTTGCTTAATCAAGTAGATATTAGATAAATATTCTCAAGATATTTCGAAATCTAAATTTTAAAAATAAATCAAACAAATTTGCTTCACACCTTAAAAATTAAATAAACAAAAACAAAATCATTAAAAATTAATTAATTAATTAAATGAGGTTGGGATAGAGATTTTTTAATTTTAAAATAAATAAGGTCGGGATATAAAGATTTGAAAATATTTTAATAAAAATAAATTCTAGAGAGAGAGAGAGAGAGAGAGACTTTGGGTCATAATATAATTCTAGTTAGGGTTTATATAGGTGTATTTCTACAGATTCAATGTCACATCACATCCTTCCCCGCTCCCACTCCCCATAGGCTCCTTTGGAAAGCAAAACTTTACTTTTAAAAAATTAAAAATTATTAGGATAAAATATTTTATAAAAAAACATATTCTAAAAGTACATTCAAACAGTAGTTGAAAGTAAATTTCTGAAACATAACTATTTAAAGTTTTTGAAAAGTGAATTTAAAAAGTAAAATGTCATTTGACCATACTATCTCAAGTTTAATCTCTTATTTTTTTATTTAAAAAATAATTAATTCATTAAAAATATAATAATAATTAGGTATCAATTTTTTAGTATTATAAATTAAATAATTAATCATGTTAATTTTTAGCATTAATATATAATAAAAATTACAAATCTTTATCACATTTTCTAAAATTACAAATTAAAAAAATAAAAATAACTAGAAATCAAATTTTTAGCATTACAGATCAAAATTTATGTTATTTAAAACTTTTATTATATTTTTTAAATATTTCAAATATATTGTATTTGTATAATAAAAATTGCAAATAACCATAAATCAATGTCATTTTTAGTAATTTTATATTTAAATGCATATTTCATTATTACAAACCAAGCAACTTTCAATGTACCAAATTAACTTTTAAAAAAATATATCCAAACACAAATTTCGTTACAATGACTGTATTTTACTAAACTGACTTTTACCAAATAAATTTTTAACAAACTAAAAACCAAACGCACACTTAGTAATTCTTCTAATTTTATTTATAAGTCATTTCTATCAACCTTATCAATACCAATACAACAAAAGTATAAAGAATAAAAATTTATAAAATTACAAACATAACTCTCAAAAAGTAAATAAACTATATAATATCATTTTTCTCTCTCTTACTTTTTAAAGATAGTTTAGACATTTCATTTCAAATACAAACATCACTATCAATTTAATAACTTATAAAGTGAACCATTTCACTCATCTAGAAGGTGACTAATAAAGGGGACGGAGGGAGTATTGTTCATCAAGACTAAGTTTCATAGTGTGATATCTATCTTTTACTAGGTAATTCTATTTCATCTTATTTCTTCATCGTTATTTTTTTAAATTTTTCGTCTTCAATAATCTCTTTAGAGCTGTATGTAATATGAAGTTTCTACGATACTAAATTTCATAACTAGTGAATCTATTTAGTGTTAAGTAACACTTGACACAAAAATATTCATATGATCAATTTCAGAGTGAGAAATTTAATTGGGAAGTTATAAGAGCTTTAGTGAAACTTAAACTAGATTCAAAGTAATAATTTCTTGAAGATTGCCTTATTGATGTTTTAAACCTACACGAGACATTCATAGCAGCTATGTATGTAAAGTGGAATCTCTACTATTGATCTCAACTAGTGAGTGTATGAATAGCAAGGTGGCACTATTCATTTTCACCTTTGCTATCTCTTTTAGTCTCAACTATTCATTTTCTTGATTTTTAATCTACCTTGTATGGGAAGCAAATCCAAAAATTTTGTGTCACCTAATATTATTTTGAGTTATATTCTATTTGTTGAAAATTATGATTCCTTAGATTTGATATTGGGGTGATGATTGTGTGAGGGAGAAGATATTGTGTACTATTAGTATTGATATGGCTACTACTACCACATTCACATTATTATATTTTCTTATCTTTCTTTTTTTGTAACAAATTACAATTTTTATGTTTTCAAAATTAAATTTAATTATTTTCACGGAAAATCATTTTTTTATTCCACTATTCATGTTTTCCATTATTCTTTTTACTCAATTTCACTCTATTCCCCTTTCTTATTTAATTTATTTGTCCAAATTGTGTGTGTGTATATACTATTAGGTGAGACAGTTATTCCTCACCATGAATTATATGGCATGTGCTATATTTTATAATATATTGGTGGGACAATTATTCCTCACCATGAATTATATGGCATGTGCTATATTTTATAATATATTGGTGGGACAATTATTCCCCATTGCTATACATTGAGGATAAATACATATAATATGTTGTAGGTTGAATGGTTATTCCCCACTGTCATACATTGAAGGTAAATACATATATTGTGTTGTGGGTGGGATGGTTATTTCCCACCAAGGTTGGAGATGGGTTTTCGTGGAAATACTATTGTGATTGAATGTTCAATAACATAATTGTCTAGAATGACTGTTGTGATTGAATGATGTAATGTAACGTTTTGAAGTGAAAGATTGAGTGCTGACAATTGTTACATGATTGTTTGGTTTATTGAGTTGAAGTACTAATGAATTTTGTTTCCTCTTCCTTAGCTCGAAAATTATATTTTATGAATATTTAAACATGTTGGCCTTTTTCTATTTATCTCATGAAATTCATTTGCCAAAAATTCTTATGCGTCTTTGTTTCTTTTCCACACACTTGTAATTTATGCTCTCACTGAATCAGTAGTAGACTCATTCCTCTATTATTTTCATTATTTTTAGATAAAGCATTTGGTAAAAGTACTTGTGGTGATTTACTATATATACTCCATTGACATATGGAGTATAATGTAAGGATAAATCAATCTTGTGGGATCTCATGATGTCATGACTACTATGAAAGTGTTAGCATCAATGTGTGATGTTGGATTGTTGTCAATAAAATAGTCATGGTTACATGCAAAACATGTTTGCTAATTTGAGGTGTTGTTTTGATTTAATAATTAAATTTTATAATAAATTATGAAAATTCAAATGAAGAATAATTGTGTTTTATTGTTGTACTTTGTAAAAAAAAGTATAATTTGTTTAGGCTTGCTAAGCTAAGTAAATAAAGTAATTAATTTAGCCTATGCGCCGATTACAACTAAAATTTTGGGTCATGACATACTAGAAATGGTGATGCGAGTTTTGGAGGGGTGGGTCTGTGTTTTCTTTGAAGACCGAGTGTTTTAACTTGACGAAGGGGAAGGAGTTTTAAAATATATTAATAAATAGTTTTGTTAACAGAACCAGTAGAACCGTTTAGTAATATATATAAAACGGTTTGGAAACAGAAACCGTGAAATAAATACTAAACAATTATCTCAAATAACCCGTTTAGTGTTTAATAATCTTTTTCTAAATTCCTGCCTTTATATATAAAATGTTTTTTCATATAACTTTTTAATAAATGGCATTATATTAATTACTTTTTGTTGTAGTGAATTCATATCTATAGCACAGAGAAATTGCCTCATAGAAAAACTTTTAACCATTCTCATCCAACAATCACTGATTAAATAATTACTTTTTCTCTTTGTGGTTTCTCGACAAGACCGTATTGACGAACTGCTGTTCATACGTGGTACACTGGTTGTCCTGTGCCCTGTCTTAGATTCTGACATATAGCTTGATTTTTGTACCTTTTACACGATTCACCTCGAGACCTTGTATTAAGGGGAAAAAAAAAAATCTCTGTCCATCTCATTTTCATTTTGTAATTAGATAGCTAGAATATTACAAATATATCTGTTCAATCTTAATTAGTTGGTTGCGAATTTCATCCTTAGGGGTATTCATTTCTTGGTATTAATATGAAAATTTTCTTAAAGAATAAACACAACTGCATATATTTACTATGTGGCCATGATAAAAATGCTAATGTTTTCTATTAAAGTAATATACGATATCTTCTATTACTGGATCAGATTTAAGTATTGCCGGATTTAATCAAATTTAGCTGTTATTGTTGTCACTATTTTTTCCCCATAATTTCATACGATCCTATATAGTAACCGCAATTACCATGTGTATATAAACACACACACACACACACATTATTAGCCCCAAGGTTTTGCAAGTTTTGACGATAATTAATAATCCATTTTATTTAAGATATTATTTCGTAACTGAGACTTATACAAATACGAGTTTGAGGTTATTTTGTTGGAAATCAAATCCAACATATGGGGCCACACATGTATATATTAAAATGTGTGGCCATTATTTAATTAAGTCTAAATAAAGTGATCTATTTGGATTTAAGTTTAAAGGCTTAGGGGTATAATTGTGATAGGATAAATGTGTAGAGACCAAGGTGATATTTATAATTTAGGGGTCAAATCACAAATATCACAAACCTATTAACTCTATAAATAGGGGTTGTGGTCACTGGTTTGGTCGGTTAAAAAGAACGTTCTCTAGTCCCCCTTCTTGGAAACATACAGAGTTTCCACTGATAACAAATCCAGAAAACACACCCTCAAAACATGGCAATTGACTCAGGTACGTTTTCGTGTTCTATTTCTATCCCTGAGTTTTGATATAGAAATGATCTTATGGGCTTTTATAGATTTGATTATGCCTTCATACTCTTCCACTATTATTCAAATTCTATCATTTGGTACCAGAGCCTCTTTCTATAATCAATTCTTTAGGAAAATATATTTGATTGATTTTTTTTTCCTTCTCGCCTCCACACCTTTAAAGTTTTCATTTGTACCAGTTTGTTTTTGTTTTGAAACTTACCCACAAAAACAAATCAAAACAAGTTTGTATAAGGATTCAGAACCCAGTTTTGTTTGTATTTGGATATTTTAGTCAGCGGTTACGGAGGCAGTTAACAATCATGGATGACGGTTACCGATAGTAACTTCCGATAACTGTCGATAACTACTCCGGCCGGCCACCCGAACCTAGTTTTGTTTGAATTTGGGTATTTTAGTCGGCGGTTACGGAGGTAGTTAACAATCATGGATGACGGTTACCGACAGTAACTTTCAATAACTGTCGATAACTGCTCCGGCTGGCCACCCTTAAAGTTTGGTTCCTATGGACGAAGCATATTTGGATGGGGGATTTTTATAAAAAATAAAATAAAATTCACTGCTACGTGGAGATCTTAATCGACTAAAGAAACTACCAACTGGCATTTTCTCACTCAAACTACTGGGTTGATGGTTATGGGCAATGGATATATATATTTTTTTACCAGATCGGTGTCTCTTTTTTTTTTTTTGTTTTTTATTCTCTCTGCAAAATACAAGCTTCGGAGTTCTTTTTCCAGAACCGAAACGATGAAGATGATTCAGTTATAATATTAATATTAAAATATTAAGGGCCCACAACGGTTTAATGTGCAGACGAATTAAGGGGAGGGAAATTCGGTTTGACCTTTCCAATATATGATGATATTATTATATGTGAAGATTTATTTATAGTGGGGCCCACATATTAAATAAATTAATAAATAGTATTTTGATTGAAAATCATGATAAAATTGCTTGATGATTACGCATATGAGTTGGTGGCCCACAACTTTGCTTTTCAATCAAACTTTCTATCAAATGTATAAGGATTTTTTTTTTTGGCTTACATTTGTGATTTGAATAGATATCTGGATGTCACTAACCAAAATATTTGGACTAGATATCATTATGATTATTATATTAGAATTGTTATATATATAATGTTGTTTTAAGATCCAGTAATTAAATTCAAATAATTACATAAGGCATTTTATTTAATTTAATTCCCTAAAGTTTATCTATTATTTTTATGATTATATTGACACATGAATGTCACCAAAATGATCTCTCCTGTGAAAATTTTTTTTTTTATATCATAGATTATTTTAGTGTGTGCATAATATCATGTGAGTATTTTAATCAACCCAAAGGAAGATTGATGCTTGACCGAATTATGCATGCACATATACAATGATAAATGTGTGACAATTATAAAATCTTACATGCGAATAATATTTTAATCCAAAGATTATTTATTATTTGGCTGTAATTATTGTCAACATTTGATTATTGCAACAAGATTACCACTTACAATTAATATCATTGTCCAAAGACTTAATATTAATGTTGTATTGGTATCTTGACATGGGTGTTAATTATTTGGATTTATTTTTTATTAGTTGATTTTTTTTGTGTCGTGAGTATAATTTATTGTATTGTATTCTTTTCTTTTAGCTGCTGTTTCATCAATATCTGCCAATTTGAATTCTGTTCTTGTATTGAGTGGAACAAACTTTAAGGAATGGAAAGACAACATACAAATTGTGTTGGGTTGCATGATCTAGACCTTGCATTAAGGGTTGAGCAACCTCCTTTAACAGATGTAAGTTCCTCTGATGAAAGGAGGTACTTTGAGAAGTGGGATCGCTCAAATCGCATGAGTCTGATGATCATTAAGCACGCTATTCCGGAGTCTTTTAGAGGTGCGGTGTCTGAAGGGATCACCAATGCTAAAGATTTCCTTGCTGAAATTGAGAAACGCTTTGCAAAAAGTGATAAGGCGGAAACAAGCATGCTTTTGCAACGCTTAATTTCCATGAAGTATAAAGGCAAAGGAAACATTAGAGAATATATTATGTAAATGTCTCATATAGCTGCTAAGCTTAAGGAACTCAAGCTTCCGCTATCTGAAGACTTATTGGTGCATTTGGTTTTAATCTCTCTCCCTATGCATTACAGTCATTTCAAAGTCAGTTATAACTGTCAGAATGAGAAATGGACTCTAAATGAGCTCATTTCCTACCTTGTTCAAGAGGAGGAGAGACTAAAACATGATATCACTGAAAGTGCTAATTTTACATCCACCTCTAAGGGGAAGGGCAAAAAGAGAAAGAAATCTGATGCTGCTAATGGTCCAAATCAGAAGAAACCTACTCAAGAAAAGAATAAGTGTTTCTTTTGCAAGAAATCTGGACATCAAAAGAAAAATTGCACTAAGTACCATGCTTGGCGTGCAAAGAAAGGTACACCTTTTACTTTGGTTTGTTCTGAGGTTAATTTAGCTTCAGTACCTAGAAATACTTGGTGGTTAGATTCTGGTGCAACTATTCATATAAGTGTTTCTATGCAGGGTTGCCTGAGCTACCGAAAGCCAACTGATGCTGAAAGACTCGTTTATGTGGGAGATGGCAAGATGGTAGACGTGGAAGCAATCGGTCATTTTCAATTATTATTAGGAACTAGTCACTATTTGGACTTAATAGATACTTTTGTTGTATCGTCTTTTAGACGAAATTTAGTTTCTATTTCTGCTTTGGACAAATCTGGTTACTTTTGTTTATTTGGAAATAGTAAAGTAGTAATATCTATTAATTCAAATATTATTAGTTCTGGTTCTCTAATATATTATGATAATTTATATTTACTTGACACGATTGCATCTTATCAAGAAACCTTGCACATGTCATCACGTGGTACTAAGCGTAAAATTAACCATGAAAAATCTGGGTCATTATGGCACAAGCGATTAGGTCACATTTCTCAACCAAGAATTGAACGACTTGTGTCTACTGGAATTTTAAAGGATATAGCCTTTTCAGACTTAAATGTTTGCATTAATTGTATTAAAGGAAAACAAACCAAAACTAAGGGAGCAGGTGCCCAAAGGTGTTCAAGTGTCCTAGAATTGATACATACAGATGTTTGTAAACCATTTCCTAAGCCTTCATGGAATGGTCAACAATACTTTGTATCATTCATAGACGACTACTTCAGGTATGGGTATCTGTATTTAATTCATGAAAAGTCACAAGTCTTGGACATGTTCAAAATTTTTAAGGCTGAAGTTGAGAATCAACTCAACAAAAGAATTAAAAGCATTAGATCTGATCGTGGTGGTGAATACTACGGCAGATATGATAGTTCAGGTGAGCAACGTCCAGGACAATTTGTTAAATTCCTAGAGGAATCGGGAATAGTACCTCAGTATACAATGCCAGGGTCACCTAGCATGAATGGTATAGCTGAGAGGCGAAATCGAACACTTCAGGACATGATGAGGAGTATGATTAGTCATTCTACCTTGCCAGAATCACTCTGGGGAGAAGCAATTAAGACAGCAACATATATTTTAAATAGAGTACCAACTAAAGTCACTGCTAAAACACCTTATGAGCTTTGGACAGGCCGCAAACCTAGTCTTAAGCATTTTCATATTTGGGGATGCCCGGCTGAAGCACAGCCTTATAAGCCTCAAGAAAAGAAGCTGGACTTTAAAACAATTAGTAGTTACTTTATTGGATACTTTGAACGTTCTAAGGGTTACAAGTTTTACAATCCCATACTTAAGACTATCTTTGAGACGGGAACGGCACAGTTTCTTAAGGATATTGAGTTTGAGGGGAGAAATAAAGAAAGAAACATTACCTTTGAGGAAGAATTTGTTTCAATTCCTGAACCAATTCCTATGGCTACTTTTGACAATATACAGGTTCCTATACCTATTGTTGTTCAAGAAGTACTTCAAGAACCTCAACAGGATAATGTTGAACAAAACTCCATCCAGGATCAAGAAATTGTTCCTATAGAAAATCAAGTAAACATTCCCATAGAACAAACTCAACAACCTCAACAACCACCTCTATTATGTAGATCCGTAAGAGAAAGGAGAAATGTAATTCCACCTGACTACATTGTGTTTCTTCATGAACATGATGGAGAAAATGGTATGGTAGACGATGATCTAATTAACATTCATCAAGCCATGCAAGATACTAATTCTCAAATGTGGATTGATGCAATGAATGAAGAGTATAAGTCTATGCAAGACAATAAGGTTTGGGAACTTGTCTCATTACCAAAAGGTACAAAACCCATTAGTTTTAAATGGGTATTTAAAAGAAAACGTGATGCACATGGTAATGTGGAGAGGTACAAAGCTCGTCTTGTGGCAAAGGGCTTTACTCAAAAGGAAGGGATTGATTATAAAGAGACTTTCTCTCCAGTTTCTTTGAAAGACTCTTTTAGGATAATCATGGCCTTAGTTGCATATTTTGACCTTAAGCTTTATCAGATGGATGTCAAAACAGCATTTCTCAATGGTGACATTGATGAATCAATCTATATGGTGCAACCAAAAAACTTTGTGTAAGGAGACTCAAAGAAAATAGTTTGTAAATTAAGAAAATCCATCTATGGGCTTAAGCAAGCTTCTCGTCAGTGGTACTACAAATTTCATCAAGTTATTATCTCATTTGGCTTTAAGGCAAACCTTATTGATAATTGTGTGTATCAAAAGTTCAGTGGGAGTAATTTCATATTCCTAGTTATGTATGTGGATGATATATTGCTTGCCACTAATGATAAAGGATTATTGAATGAAACCAAGAAATTTCTATCAAGAAATTTTGAGATGAAAGATATTGGTGAAGCATCTTTTGTATTGGGAATCAAGATACATTGAGATCGTACTTGAGGTATTCTTGGTTTATCACAAAGGAATTATATAGATAAAGTCCTTAGCAGGTTTAGCATGCAGAATTGCAGACCAGGTAACACCCCTATTTCCAAAGGTAATAAATTTAGTCTCGATCAATGCCCTAAGACTCAACTTAAAATTAAAGCCATGCAAAAGGTTCCCTATGCATCAGCTATAGGGAGTCTAATGTATACCCAAGTTTGTACGTGTCTAGATATTGCGTACATTGTTGGCATGTTAGGCAGATATGTAAGTAATCCAGGAGAGATTCATTGGAAAGCAGCCAAACGAGTTATGCGTTATTTGAAAAGAACAAGGGACTGCATGCTCACGTACCGTCGATCAGATCAATTAGAGATCATAGCATATTCTGATTCTGATTTCGATGGATGCCAAGATAGTAACAAGTCCACTTCAGGCTACATTTTTCTATTGGCTGGTGGAGCTGTTTCTTGGAGAAGTGCCAAACAGACACTTACAACCTCTTCCACATTTAAAGCAGAATATGTAGCTTGTTTTGAGGCATCTAATCATGCAATTTGGCTGCAAAATTTTGTCACTGGGCTGCGCATTATGACAAACATAGAAAAACCATTAAAGCTATATTGTGATAATAAAACTGCAGTTCAATATGCAAATAACAATAGGAGTTCGTCTAAGTCAAAGCACATAGACATTAAATTCCTTGTTGTAAAAGAAAGAGTACAGAATGGACAGATATCTGTTAAACACATTAGGTCAAAATCTATGTTAGCAGATCCTTTTACAAAAGGAATAGAACCAAAGGTTTTTCTGGAGCATGTTGCTCATATGGGTATTATTATGCTTGAGGATATCTTAGTATAGTGGGAGTATATAGTGTTCAATGCAAGACTATTTTATGCTAAAGTGTATTTTCTGATCAGGAATGAAGTTATTCAGTATTAAGTTATTATATTCCATTTTGTTACATCATGTAGAAGTAATGATCTCACTAAAGTAAGGATGACCAGTTGGAAATAGACATGTATAGGTCACATCACATGTAATTTTCATGCTACACATCCATGATTGATCTATGTCATTGATTGTATTAGTATATGTGACCATTGCTAGGCCTAGTCATTGTGTACTTATGACAAAAGCCTCGTTAATCCTATATTGATTTAGTCAATGGACCAGATTGTTTATACCCTGTGTATATAATGGCACATTTTTTTTTTTGAGCTCATAAGGATAAACACATTTTTTATCAAGATTTACATATGTGGCCCAGTGGGAGATTGTTGGAAATCAAATCCAACATATAGGGCCACACACACACACACACACATATATATATATATATTAAAATATGTGGCCATTATTTAATTAAGTCTAAATAAAGTGATCTATTTGGATTTAAGTTTAAAGGCTTAGGGGTATAATTGTGATGGGATAAATGTGTAGAGACCAAGGTGATATTTATGATTTGTTTAGGGGTCAAATCACAAATATCACAAACCTATTAACTCTATAAATAGGGGTTGTGGTCACTGGTTTAGTCGGTTAAAAGGAACGTTCTCCAGTCCCCCTTCTTGGAAACATACAGAGTTCCCACCGGTAACAAATCCAGAAAACACACCCTCAAAACATGGCAATTGATTCAGGTACGCTTCCGTGTTCTATTTCTATCCCTAAGTTTTGATATAGAAATGATCTTATGGGCTTTTATAGATTTGATTATGTCTTCATACTCTTCCACTATTATTCAAATCTATCATATTTTACTATGCATATGTTAGTAATTGACTTTTATACTTGTAATAGGAATATCAGATTGGAGGCTTTATATACGAATGGAATCAAAGTATACAAGGAAGACAAATAAAATTGGGAAAATGAAAATAAAATCTTCCTAAATTATATAAATGATAACTTGATCCCTCAAAATGTCATAATTTCTTTAAAGTTTTCAGAGATTTCTATGTCAATAAATTTTAAATTAGAAAAAAAATTATTTTACCCTTATTAACAAGTTGTAATTTTTTATTCAATTCTTATAATTTTTTAAATAAAAATTATTATTCTTTAAACAAAAGTTATAATTAGGGCTTGTTGATTTAAGAACTTATTTTTTTAGTAACAAAAATTACATTTGAAAAGTTATGATTTCTTGTTCAACTTTGCGATTCACAAAATAAAAG